GGGCTGGCAGGCCCCGATCGCCTGATCGGGGTTGGGACCCCAGGCTGGGACAGGGTACTGGGGGTGGGTGGCGGCAGACGCAGGTGTCGAGGGAAGGAGAAGGAGGGGAGGCAGGAACCCGATCAGCCCTGATCACCAGCAAGGCCTAGGGACCCCACCCGTGCACAATTTCATGCACTGGACCTCTGGTTTTTAAATAAAGTGAAGTCATTGAGGAAATTAACGTGTTCATTTCTTAGTAAGTTATTACCAAGGCAACGTCTTTAGGTATCACAGGAATCGTAACACCCAAGCAGAGAGACACTATCACTTCTGTGCGTGAGGATGCACTGCTTAGCGCCACCAGTGCTCTGATGTTGAAAGAGCCAGAATTTTTAAGAGAATCCCTAGATTAGGTATCTGTTATACTGTGTTCTATCTCTAGTTAGGAAAGCAAAATGCTCTCCTTGAAGACTTTGATTCTGTTGATGAACATTTCCCAGACTTTGACGACTTCTTTCCCCGAGGAATCCAGCTCTAGCAGCTCAGGGCTCCCAGAGACCCCTCAAGGCTGCAATGGGCAGGGTGCCCTCACCTCTTACTGCTTCAGAGAGATCAGTCTTACTTTTTTGTTCTCTGGGCCTTTGGGTTATATTTTGTTTGATTGATATTTCTGAACTGAAAAAAAATTCTGAAACACTAAGTCCTACTTGATATTTCCTCCTTTCTTTCCTTCCTTCCTTCTGGCCTTCCTTCCCTTTACTTCCTTCTTTCTCTCTGTTTCATTTCCTCTATTTTTTGTAGTGAAATGAATTTCTGTTACCAATTATTTACAAGATGGCAAAAAATGTCTATAGTATTTACGTAGAGAAAGTAAATGATGAGGACTCTGGAGAATCTCTATTAAAAAGAATTCAAGGCAGCATGCCCTTGCCAGTCCCCTGGACTTGCTTCTTGCTTCAGCAGTGGACGGAACAGACCCAGGGCCACCCTTCCTTCCAGCCTCTGACCACCCTCCAACCTCTTTTCCAACACCTCAGCCACCCTCGTCCTCTGAGACCAGCCAGTACTGTTTTTTTTACCTTAACTCCCTAGTGCCCAACAACCATGAGCTCCCAAACTCATCAGAATTATTCCACCGAGGTGGAGGCTGCGGTCAGCCGCCTGGTCAGCCTGCCTCTGCGGTGTCCACCTACCTCTCTCAGGGCTTCTATTTCCACCGTGAAGGCTCTGGAGGGCGTGGGCCACTTCCGCGAGTTGGCAGAGAAGAAGCGTGAGGGTGTCCCATGTCAAAGATGCAAAGCCAGCATGGTGGCTGCCTTCTCTTCCAGGGTGTGCTGGAGCCTCCCCAAGATGAGTG